TGAAGCTTTTTCAGGACAGAGGACAAGTTACTGTGGTGAATTTTTCTATGCATACCCAGAGGTCCAGATCCCTGCTCCCTGCTTCGTGAAGGCTAGGAGCGGCCCCTCAAAATGCCCTCAGAATATTCTACTCTGGGCTTTGGGAAAACACTGATTTATTCAGTCAAATAAGTTTTGCCAGCCTTCGGGTGCTGAGCCCGTTTGGTGGGGAGGCATGGAGTGGTGAAAGGGGTGGGTGGGTGGGTGGGCGGGAGGGAGGCCCCCGCCCTTCTGAGGTTGGGTCCAGTGTGAGAAAATGCCCAGACAGTAATCGTATAATATGCTAAACAGGCCCTGACTGGTTTGCTCAGTGGATAGAGCGTCGGCCTGTGGACTGAAGGGTCCCAGGTTCGATTCCGGTCAAGAGCATGTACCTTGGTTGTGGACACATCCCCAGTAGGGGGTGTGCAGGAGGCAGCTGATCGATGTTTCTCTCTCATAGATGTTTCTAACTCTCTATCCCTCTCCCTTCCTCTCTGTAAAAAATCAATAAAATATATTAAAAGAAATATGCTAAACAGCTTGGTAATAGAGGCAGTACAGCTCACGTTAGGAACAAAAGAAGGCCCAGAGGGTCCCATGACCTCAAAAACAGAGAAGTAGCTTTTGAGCTGAGCCTTGAAAGGGCGCCAGGCAGAGAAGGTGGTGGTCCAAGCAGAGGGACCAGCATGACGGAAAGAGGGCCAGGGCGCCCGAACACAGTAGACGCTCACATTCTGTGAATGAGACACAGCCATGCTTGCTGGCAGGGAGCACTCCCCACTCTACCATGAACTGCTCAAAACTGCGACAAGGCAGGGGAATACCGGCCTCTTGATGCCCCCCAGAGCCCCAGACTGAGTTGGGACCCCGAGCAGGTGACGGTGGTGGAAGGGCCACTGAAACGGAGAAAGGGTTGTGTGGTCCTGGGCTGGGAGTGATTTCCAGGAAGTGGCTCTCTGATTCCGCTCTCCCGGAGGGCAGCTGCTAAAAATACAACCTTGCTGTTGCTTCATCGTTGGGAAAAAACAGGGCAGGGGTAGCCTCTCACCGCTGTTCGTGCGAGGTTGTGCTGGCACGGGGTGTTTTGGGCAGATGGTACCTTAGGACTGTCCTAAGATAAAAACCTCCCAGAGTATGTGTGCAGGGGGAGGCCACAGGCAGACGGCCCCCCAGCTGGTCTAAAGGAGGTCAGCGCCAGTCTCCCTCTCCCCCTGGGAGATCCCTGACCTCATGAGATGATCATTTCTTCCCCGAAGGCCAGGCGAGGGCAGGATCTGGAACTAAACGGGCTGGCTGGGTACTTGGGGAAATGGGAAAGCACTAGCAGCCCCTCTGGAGGTAGGCTGAGTGTTGCTATGCACGACCCCTGCTCTTGCATTGCCCAACGTTCTTATGGTTTTCAATACAATTAGAAGTGAAGAATTTTATATTTCCATATCTTACAATGTTGGCACTAATTCAAATAAAACTGTGAGAGGTGAACAAGACTGTAGGACCACTGGGCCTTGTTTCCATCTCAGGAAGGCGGGTGTCCTTAGGACATCAAAGCTTTAAAGAGAAAAGTGAGAGCCGGGCAGAGTGCAGTGCTTCTGGCAATATCACCGAGTTAGTCTCCACGCGAGGGGTGAGGGGCTCCATGACAAGTGAGAAGGCCCAGTCCTGCCATTTTGGAACTCCCCGTCGAACAAGGTAGATGGACAATTAAAGAGGCAACTACAGGCAATTGAATAATCAGCACGAGTAAGGACACGGGTGGGGGTGGGGTGGGGGTGGGGGAAGAGAGCACAGATCAAGGCAGGCTTCCCGAAAGAAGAGTGCTCTGACCTGGGACTTGGAAACGATTAGCAGTTAGCCAGGCAGGAGGTGGAAGGGGTAGAGGAGTATTCAGAGGGAGGGACTAGCATATGCAAAGGCCTGGAGACATGAAAAAAACTCGACTTATTCAAGAATCTGAAAGCAGCCCCTTCCTCACATTTCATCTAGGCAGGAAATAAAGCATCTCTGTAATTCCTTTGAATTTCTTTGGATACCTTGCTCCAAGGTCTTACTGGCTCTCCTCGGGGACACTTAGCAGGTATTTGGTAAATGTTCATGGTGCTTCCCCAAGTCCCCATTCCTTCCTGTTCTCTGTGGAGTTTTTAAATTCTGCTACAGTTTGTGTGCCTGTTTTTAAGAATTTCCGTTGGTCTCACTTCACCGTGGCCAGGATCAAGGCTAGAAATGGGTTATACAGTAGGAACTCAAATGTCCAGAAGTGAAAAGGGGCATGGGGGGTGGGGTGGGGAGGGAATTCTGAAGGGCCTGCTGCCTTTCTGTTGTAACTAAGTCCCCACCCACTTGAGACTGGACCGGATTCTGTGTGGTGGTGGGGCAATGCTTTGCAAACCCCTAACAGGCCGGTACGCAGCAGGCACTCACTACGCACCTGCTGGATGGAATGTAGGTCTCATAAACAGGTCTGATCTTTGAAACAGGGCAGGGAAGGATCTGGCCCCCAGTCCTGCTGTTTCCGGCCAGCATGTCCTGGGTGGTTCCCTGAGCCCGGGTCTGTAGCCCAGAACCAATTGAATGTGGTGGGATGGAACTCTGCAACGGTGGAGACCAGGAGCTGGGGAACCAAACAGACTTGGGTACAAACCCCAGCTCCCCCATTTCCAAAATGGGGGTAATTGTGCCTCCCGGGTATCGTTTTCATCCTGAGAGTGCTGAATGGCTCATGTGGACGGACGGTGGACATCGTGCCCCCTCTCACCCCTCGCTCCTCCTTGCCTTCTGTGCCCTGCAGGGTGTTTCACGGAGCAGCCATGTCCACCCTGTACCCATCTCTGGAGGACCTGAAGGTGGACCAAGCCGTTCAGGTACGTCGCCAGGCCCGTGTGAGCCCGGGCCCCTGATGGAGCCTCAGGACCACCCAGGGCAGCTAAGGGAGGCTGGTCTTGGACGTTGGTGGGTGGTTGGGCCCCAGGCCTGCAGGTCACCCCCGAAGGGCCTGCCGAGCGGGGCAGGTGCCCAGAGGCCAAGGCAATGGAGTCGCAGCAGGAATGGAAACGGCCAGCACCTGCGGCCAGGCCTGCCCTGCCTGCTTTGTCCCAGCCTCTCCTCCACCAGGTTCAGTGCACCCCACACTGTAGGGCAGGCTCCTGGCCTTCTGAGCCCCCACCAGCCCCTTCTCCCTCCATCCCATGTGGTCTCAGTGGGTGCTGAGAGTTTGGGACTTTTTGAGAACTTGGCTGGGAGTGGGCCCCAATGTTCTGGCTGCTTCAGGGCAAAAATGGGTCATTTGGTGGCTCGTAGAGAACAACCACGAACCTCCCCCAGAAACATGGGCATCTCAGAGACCACATCTACACAGGACCTCAAAGGGTCATGGATGTCCTCCACCCCCCAGGCCCGCCAGCATACGTAATGCCTCGCTCCTAGGGTCCAACGGTTCCGGGGGCGGGGGCCGGTCCCAGACACAGCTGACCAGCACCCCTCACCTCTCCGCAGGCCCAGGCCAGAGACACCCCCAAGATGCCCATCCTGCCTGTGCAGGAGACACCTGTCCCCCAGCCTCCAGGTGAGTGAGTGGGGTGGGGGTGCTCCTGACCGAGAGTCACCTCTTCTGGCGTCTCCGAGTGCTGGTCTCTTGTCTGCTACTGTGCTGTGTGCTCTAGACACGTCCCACCTTCACCAGAACCCTTTGAGGCCGCAGAGGAAACCGGCCCAGTGAGGCACTCACTGCCCTGCTCTGGGCCATCTTCCGTGGTGCCGCCTGAGGGCCAGATGTTGTGGTGGCCCCAGGAGTTGTTGTTTGTGGCCGTCTTGATTCAGGTTTTGGCAGCAAACTTGAACTTAGGCTCAATTCTCCCCTCCTCCCCGGGCACAGTGTCCCCAGAGCTGAGCTGCCCTGCCCTTGGGTCAGACGCCTGCTTCTGGGGATTTCTTAAGAGCAGGGCCTCATGGCCCCAGTGCCAGCCCTGTACTTCGTGTTGGGTGTCTGGCCGGTGCCAAGTAAAGTGGTACATGAGGCACTCGGGGTCCCAGGCTGCTCCTGGAGGGAGTAGGACCCCTGCCCCTCAGACCTGGGGAGAGGACCACCTCACCAGCGCGTGTTCCTGCCTCCTCTCCCACACACCCCGTCCCCGGGGTACACTGTTCTCGGGGAGAAGCTGATCCTTGGGCGCTGACAGCATTCCCAGGCCCCGTGTCTTAGAAATGAGCCCCCACATTGGAGCCAGGCCGTATGGCCAAGCTCACCTTGGTAACACCTTTCTTCCTCCTTCTTCCTTTCCCATCAGTTTTGTACCCAAACCTGGCAGAACTGGAAAATTATATGGGTCTTTCCCTCTCCAGCCAAGAAGTCCAACAGAACCTGCCTCAGAGTCCAGACGGTACCAGTGTAGGTATCTGTCTCTTGCCTGAAGTGGGCACAGATCTTCCAACTCTCCCTCCTTCTTGGTCTCGCCTTTGAAACATTCTTGCAGCCCCGTTTCTTGATGGAACTTCCCATTTTGAGCCCTCATTACAAGTGTTGTGGGATTTCATGGGGTCCCGCGGGCCTGGGGGTTGCAGGGCCACTGCCTGCCCTTTGACCCCTGGCTGCAGGTGCTGAAGGAGAAGGGAGGACAGTAAACCCAGCCTGCGTCTGGGAGCTTCTCATGAAGGGCTGCCTGTAGCGTGAGAGCAGCCGCGTGGACAGGCAGAGGCGCGGTGGGAGGAGCTCGTCACCCAGCCCTGGTCCCCAAACTAAACAACATGGCTTGATTCCCGAGCTCCATGGCTCAGGGAGCAAGAGAAATCCTGACAGAAACATTCACCCTTGAAAACGTGTTCACTCACAGACCCAGTCCCCACGCAGACCCCTCCCAGTTAGGTCCAGCACCCCTGCGGCCATTTGTCCGTGTCCTTGTCGGCCAGTCTCCGCCTGAGCCCGTGAAAATCAGTGGCAAAGTGCAGCGGGGACTTGCTGGGCCTGGAGGATTTCGAGAGGGTGGTGGGAGTGGTACGAGAATGCACAGCCACATGCAGAGCTGCTGACAAGGGAGGGTCTCACAGGAGAACATGGACAAGGATGAGGACACGTGGGACCCTGAGAAAAGCTAGTGACACTGGGGTGTTCTCTAAAATGACCCCCTTGATAGTCATGCTGTGAAGTCCACACACCACGTAAAGAAGGTCATGTTTATCTAGTTCAATTTTAATCCATCGATTTAATCCCTCTGTTCCAATAATTAGGACATAAATGCATTTAACCTAAGTGTTGATAAAAATATGACAGCTGAATGCATTTTATAATATTTTAAAGTTTTGTTGTTATTTTTAAATCATCATAGATTCACAGGAAGTTGCGAAGGACAGAGAAAGGCACCGAAGAGTGTACCCTTCTCTCAGTTTTCCCAATGACTACGTTTTACATAATGATAGCATAATGTCAGAGCAGGCATTGCATTGGTACAGGTGTGTCTAGGGTTCGGTGTCGTTTTATCACCGGCAGAGATTCCTGTAACCACCAGCACAATCAGGATGTTTCATCCCCACCAAGGGCTCCTACGAGCTGCCCTTCACAATCATGCCTGCCCTCCCCCCTCACTCCTCTCTCTCCTGTTCCTTTAACGTCCTCATTTCAGAATGTCATGTCAGTGGATCCTACAGTGCGTGACCTTTTCACTCAGCATAAGGCCCTGGAGATAATTCCAGCTTGTCACGTGCATCCGCAGTTCCCCCTTTTTATTGCTGAGCCGTGTCCATGGTGTGGATGTGCCACGGTTTGCTTAACCTGTTGAGGGACACTTCAGTTGTTTACAATTTCTGTTACAAATGGAGCTGTTGTGATGTTTGTAGACAGGTTTTGTATGAACATAAGTTTTTATTTATCTGGGGTAAATGCCCAGGAGTGCAATTGCTAGGCTGTATGATAAATGAATATTTACATTTTTAGAGAAATCGCTCAACTATTTCTAGAGTGGTTTGACCATTTTATTTTCCTGTTAGCAACACACGACAGCCCCAGTTTCTTCACATCCTCACTAGCACTGGGTTTTATCACCATTTTTAGTATTAGCTGTTATGATGGGTGTTTATTGGAATCTTATCAAGGTCTTAATTTGCATTTCCCTAATGGCTAGTGATGTTGAACATCTTTCCATGATCTTATTTACTATTTTCTTTTCAGTAAAATGTTTCCTCATATCTTTTGCTTATTTTCTAAATGGATTGTTTGCTTTTTTAAGTCAAGTTTTTTTTGTTGTTGTTGTTGTTAATCCTCACTTTCGGATATTTTTTCCTTTGCTTTTCAGAGAGAGTAGAAGGGAGGGAGGGAGTGAGAGAAACATTGATGTGAGAGAGACACATGGACTGGTTGCCTCCCAAACTCACCCTGACTGGGGGGAGGGGCGGGGGAGAAGTTTACCTGAAACAGAGGTGCCCTTGCACGGGAATTGAACCCGCCACCCTTAGGTGAGTGCTGGGGTCCAATCCCAGCGGGTCACTGGCCAGGGCTAAGTCAGGTTTTGAGAGTTCTTTATTCTAGAGTCATTCATTAGATATGTGGTTTGTAAATATTTTCTCCCAGTGTGTAGCTTCTGTTCTCATCCTATTAAAAGGGTCTCTTGCAGAGCAAAAGTTTTAATTTTGATGGGGTTCAATTTATTGATTTCTTTTTTCTTTTGTGGGTCATGCTTTGCTGTCCTAAGGAATTTTCACTAAGCCCTAGGTCCTGAAGATTTTTTTCCCCTCTAAAACCATTATAGTTTTATGTTTTACATTTAAATTTATGATTGAATTTGAGTTAATTTTTATATAAGGTGTGGGGTAAAGGTCAAAGTTCATATTTTTGCTATGGATGTTCAATTGCTCCTGTACCATTTGTGGAAAAAACTATTCCTTCTCCATTGAACTACTACTCTTGCATCTCTGTGAAAACAGCTGGCCCTACTTATGGGAGGCTGTTCTGTTTCATAAGTGTCCATCCCTCCATTAATCCACACTGTCCTGATTACTTAGCTATATAATGAGTCTTGAAATTTGGTTGAGTGTGTCTTCTCACTTTCCTTTTTGTGAGGATAGTTTTAGCAATTCCAGTTCCTTTGTCTTTTCATGTAAAGTTCAGATTAACCTTGCCTAAATCTAGAAAACATCTTACAGGGGTTTTGATAGAAATTAAATCTGTATTATCAATTGGGGACATTTGACAGTTTTTCTATTTTCTTCAAATCCATGAATCTCTATGTTTATTTAGATCTTTGATATCTTTTATCAGTGTTTTGTAATTTTCAACATACAATTCCTATACATGTTTTGTTAGATTTATAAGTTAAAAGCTTTTTTTTAAATTCTCACCTGAGGATATATTTTCCATTAATTTTTTTTTAGAGAGAGTGGAGGGGAGGGTGGAGGGGCACAGAGAGGGAGGAGAGAGAAACATCGATGTGAGAGAGACATACACATTGATGTGTTGCCTCCTGCACGCACCCTGACCGGGGGTCATGGATTGAGCCTGCAACCGAGGTACATGCCCTTGACCTGGAATCTAATTCACAACCCTTCCGTCGGATGCTCTAGCCACTGAGCCACCAGCCAGGGCTTATAAGCTTTTTGGAGTGATTGTAAGTGGTATTGTATTTTTAATTTAGGTTTCCTCAGGTTCATTGCTAGTATATTGAAGTACACTTGATTTTTGTATGTTGATCTTGTGTCCTGTGACCTTGCTGAACTCATTTATTAATTCAAGTTCACTCATAGATTCCTTGGAATTTTGTAGTAGGCCATAATGTCATCTGCAAATAGGGACCATTTAATTTTCCTTTTCCAATCTGTCTTTTCTTTTCTGTTCTTGCCTTATTGCTCTGGCTAGTTCTTTCAGTCCTATATTTAATAGTAGTGGTGAGCTTGGACATGTTACCTGTTCTGGATCTTAGGGGGAAAGCATTCCTTTTTATTTTTAGACTAAAATCAAACTGAGCCCACTTTTCCCCATTGGTCACTATTGCTGTTTTGTAATTTTATTTACTTTTACTTAAAAGTGAATTTTAAAGAGGTCTTTACCTGATATCAATTAGCCTTGGAAAACGGGGGCCTCTTTTCTGTATAGCCCTGCTCTTTCCTCATTTTCCTGGCTGTTTTTCAAGGCCGTGGACTTGGATGCCCCCTAGTGGCTTCATGGAGTCATGTCCCCTCTGGGCTCCAGCCGATAAGTGCGTGATCTGCTGGTGGGCGAGGCCCCAGGGCCCATTCCATCCTCCTTTCCCCCTCCTTTCGAGGCCCCAGGGGCCCGCTGACCCCCTCCTCCCCTGCTGTCTGCAGACGGTGGTCTCTGGCCCCTCGCCGGGCCAGGTGGTGGCGCCGGTGTCCGGGAACAGCCTGGGTGTGCGGCGTGCGGAGATCAAGCCCGGGGTGCGTGAGATCCACCTCTGCAAGGACGAGCGCGGCAAGACGGGGCTGCGGCTGCGGGCCATCAACAAGGTGGGGCTGGCGGCCTGGCGGGAGCGGGGTGGTGGGCAGCACCCGTAAGCAGCCTGAGCCACCCGAGCTCCGCGCCTTCGGGGCTTTGGCTGCACAGCCCAGCAGCTGGGGAGGGCATTGCGGGGTGGGGGTGGGGGTGGGGAAGATGCAGAGGGTGCTGGGAGCAAGGCCCACCTAACTCCCAAGCCCAGCCCCTTCCTCTTAGCCCCTCCCCCAAGGCCCAAGGCCTGGCACTGGATTGCTGCAGGGACCCACCAGCTGCCTCTCAGGGGCTCCTGCTGCTCAGAGCCTCCCTTCCCCGTGTCCCCCGATTCACAGGGATCTGGCTGCCAGGCGGCTGTCCGTAGGGCCTTGATGCCATTGTGAGAGGCTGCGGTCCAGTGCTTGGGGATGCAGCCTTCAGCCAGGCTTGAAATTCTGCCTCAGGTGCTCCCTAGCCGTGTGGCCTGGGAGTTTCCTCACCAGGAAAATGGGGAGCCAGTGTACCTGCTGGCAGAGCTGTCGTCTCCGCACCCTATAGGCCCCCAGAGCATGAGGAGGAAACACCTAGGAGGAGGGACCTGGGCTCCGGTGGGCGCGCTGACTGGGGCCCTGCCTCTCCCAGGGACTCTTCGTGCAGCTGGTACAGGTCAACACCCCTGCATCCCTTGTGGGGTTGCGCTTTGGGGACCAGATCCTGCAGATTGACGGGCGCGACTGTGCCGGGTGGAGCACAGACAGAGCGCACCGGGCAGTGAAGAGGGCTTCAGCAGAGAAGATCGTCATGGTTGTTCGGGACCGGTGAGTGCCGGCGGCAGGAGCTCCTCTGTCCGCCTGCTGCCCCGACCCGAGCCCAGCTCACTGTCCCTCTCCGCAGGCCTTTCCAGCGGACGGTCACCATGCACAGGGACAGCACCGGCCATGTGGGCTTCGTCATCAAGAAGGGGAAGGTGGTCTCTATAGTCAAAGGGAGTTCCGCGGCCCGCAACGGGCTTCTCACCAACCACTACGTGTGTGAAGTGAATGGGCAGAACGTCATCGGGCTGAAGGTAGGCCAGCGGCCGGCTCTGCCCCAGAGCTGCAGGGGCAGGAGGCTGCTGGGTGGTGGGAGGGCCCATGTCTGTGGGCACCATCCGAGCTTGTTTCTTCATCCTAAGGTTGCTGTGAGGAGTCGATAAGACAGTCAGTACATAGAACTTTGGGCACATGGTCAGTGCTCAATAAATATTAGCTATTGATACTAACACATGGAGGTCAAAGGAGTGACAGAAAGAGGGGGTGTGGTGACATGTGAAAGGCCACAGGTGCCCAGGTGGCTACGGGCTGCATGAATACCTCCCTTCGTGTGTGGTACTTCTGTTTGCATCCCAGATCACGTGACAGGAATGTTTCTGAAAACAGTTCTTCAGAAATCCATTTCTGACCTCTGTTCACTTTTTGAGGGGATGTGTGTAGCGACTTTTATTATTGAAAAATGTAAGTGGCCTCGAGTCAGTGCTAGGGGCATGGACTGAAGGTGGGTGCCTTCAGGGAATGGACCACAGAGGATGCCGAGTCACATGGCTTTTGGTCCCTGAACAAGTGAAAGTAATGTTGTCCTAACCTGATGCTGCTCCCTGGGTAAGAGTGGTTCTCGTCGAAGGCGTGATTTAGATGAGGCCCTTCCCCTCCTGCAGCCAGGGCTCTGGGCTCACAAGGCAGGTCCCCCTGCAGAATGGCCTGGGTGGTGGCATTCATTCTCCTCCCCTCACAAGGGCCATCACCAAGCCTTTCCTGTCACATCTGCTTCCCTGTGCCTGGCAGTCTCCCCCCGCCTTCCCTGGAGGCAGGTTCTGGTAGCTCACTGTGATCAGGAAGTGCTTCCTAATGTCTGTCCTAGGTCCTTCCTGCTGCATCTCTGCCCTCAGGGATCAGGCGTGACAGTCCGAAGGGAACCCCCATACCTGAAAAGCTGGCACACTGGTACCAATTCTGAGTAGCCGGCTCTTTCGGATATGAATGAATCTGTCCTTTGAGAGCATTACCGCTCATGGATCCTAACTGAGAGCAGTCATTCTACAGGTGCTGCCGGTCCTCTCCTTTCGGACGGCTCACGGCTGCGTTACGGGCTTACCCGTTACCCTGCCAAGCCACCGCGTGTGAGGCTCTTAGGACTGGGCTGGCCCCTTTACAAGTGGCCACAGAGAGCTATGCTGCTTGAGATGATCTCTCCACAGTTCATCTGCTTTCACTGGCCATCACTAGTCCTATCCAGCACGCCTTCTCCCCCTTATCCTGGAACAACCAGACAACAGAAACCAAGCTAGAGTGAAGTCAGGCCTCTAGTCTCTGGATGGGCCAGGGCTCTGCTGCCATCGCTCTAGCTGTTGGGCTGCTTGGCACACTTTGCATGGAGACTTTATGTGTTGTGTCTTCAGGATCTCATCGGCTTCTGCAGGCCTTTCTGCTTTACTGAGTGAGATGTACGAGGAAGCGGCCCCTGTGGGCAGCTCAGGCTGGCTGGCCAGCGGGCCCGGCGGGGGTGGCGCACCTAATGTCCCCCACGGCATGCTGTTTTCTTCCTGCTTTGGGGCCAGAACCTGGCCGGGCCCAGGGAGATGGGATAGGAGATGTGGCTGGTGAGATTCGGGGCCTCTGTGGGTGAGGGAAGGAGCGTAGTTCTGTTTGTAGGCCCTGCTCCGTCAGGCCCAGGTGACTGGCCCTCGAGGCGAGGGTGGGGAGTGGCCCATTCACAGAGGGGAGCCTCAGGGGAGGTCCACGTTCTAGGTCAAGCAGGGCCTCACCAGGTGTCTGCCTGTGACTCTCCCCTGAGGGCAGCCCTACCCCTGAAGTCAGGTGCCAGTGGTTCCCTAGCAGAGGCCACGCTGACCCATCCATAGCGTTGCCTGCAGTTACCCCTGGCCCCGGGGTGACCGCTCGCTCGACCTCCTCTCTAGGACAAAGAGGAGTGACGGAGATTCTGGCCACAGCTGGGAGCGTCATCACCCTGACCATCATCCCCACCGTGATCTACGAGCACATGGTCAAAAAGTAAGGCTCTCCCTCGCTCTTCCCTCCCCTCCCCACTCCCCTCTGCCCTGCCAGCTGCCCACCCCCACCCACCCCCCTTCAGCGTGGCTGGTGGCTGGAAATCTTAGAAATAAAAGTGGAGGCTCACGTGGGAGGCACAGGCCGCGGGAAGGAGGGAAGGCACTGCCCGTGTGGCCACTGTCGTCGCTGTATCTAGGTTGTCCCCGACCCTGCTCCGCCACACCATGGACCACTCCATCCCGGATGTCTGACGTCACGGGCAGCTCGCCCCCCTCCTCCTGCAGGAACACAGAGGCCTCAGGACTGCAGGTTTCAGAGACCTGCTGCCTGGAGCCGGGATGTCCTGACAGGGTGTGCTCGGCGGGTGTGTGTGTGTGTGTGTGTGTGTGTGAGTGTGTGTGTGTGTGTGTGTGTGTGTGACCGCAGAGCACATAGTCTTCATGTGGAGCACAGGCCTCCTCGGAGCCTGACGCTTGCCTGGACTACAGGCAGCGGCTTGCGTGGGTTTCAGTGTCGCGGCAGCCGGCTCAGGGCCTCCGGAAGGTGCAGCTGGGTCCCTTTTGGGACGTCACCTCTACCAGGACAGTCCACATTGAGAGAACAGAAGCACATTCCTTGTGAGAATTTTTCCCTTTACTTGATCTTTGACACACACTGTACATGGGTAGAACTCCTCACTTATCTTTTGAATAAAGCTTTGACTTTAAATAAAATTCCTTCCCCCAAAGTCACTGAAAAGTCCGGAATTTCAGTCCCAGGACATGCCAGGCTGGTTTTCTTTCAAGCAATCGTGAGACCAAGGCCTTGCCCATGCATTGCCTCTGAGAGCCGTTAGTGCTCTGCCCCTTCGCAGGCTGCCTGCCGTCGGAGGGATGGCTAGTGGGGTGCCGCGTGGGCCCTGGAAGAGGGGACCAGCTTTGGACACCCCTCTCTCCGGCCAGGCTGCTGTGCACGTGCAGAATGGGCGTAAGAACTGGTGAGGGGAGGAGGAATGCGATGCATTCAGGGTCTGACACTGAGGGAGGTGTTTCTAGATGCTTTGTCTCCGCCCCCCGATGAGGGGCGGGGGCCCAGCTGCCCACGCAGCTGCACAGTGGAGCCGAACCACCCGCAGCTCGTGTTCCCCTGACCTGGAGAAGACCCCTGCCAGGGGGCACGCTCTGCCTCCCACGCGGGTGGGGACAGCTTGAGCCCCCTTCACCCCCCACCTCAGAAAAAAGACATCAAGAAACAGGCCGAGGGTCGTGTGTGTTTTCATGCTTTAATTCAGAGTCGTCTGCTGCAGGTACAACTCTGTCTGAACAAAAGGACAAAGGAGACCAAAGTGAATGCCCCTCCCCACCTCCCCCCTTCCCGGGCCCCTGAATTCTGTCAAGGGGATGGCCGAGTGTGAGTGTGCACTGTGACTGGGGTGCACTGTGCCCCCAGGTCAGAGAGGGGATCATGAGGTCACTGGGCAAAGGCCCCTCCGTAGACCTTTGCCCCAGAACCTTGTCCTTTGCCCGCCCCTCCCCAAGGCCGTCAGCTACCTGTGCTGCTGCCGGCGAGCTGTGCGAGTGGCGATTGGGAGGGTGTTCAGTGAAGCGCTAAGTCATCCCCTTGGGAGACAGGCAGTAAACTCCGCCCGGGCCAGCTCCGTGTGCAGAGTCCTGGCCCGACTCTGATTCGGCCTGAGCCTGGACCAGAGGAGCAGCAGGGCCGCTCTGGCCCGGACCCTACAATGAAGAAGCCACTTTTCCCCGCTGGGCTCCACGGGGCCAGCGTTTCCAGAAAGTGACTCCTGGAAACACTGTCCCTTGGACCTAACCATCCGCTCTGGCAGAGGCTGGCGAAAGGGGGCCCACGGATTTCTGCTCCAGAAGCGGAGGGCAGGCGGGAAAGGTCAGCCCAACGGGAGGAGGCGTTAAGCAGACACGTGCAGAATGAGCACTCAACAGCCCACACTCTGTGCCCTGCACAGTCAGGGGGACAGGCCCCACCTCCACCGCCTGCAGCCGCACAGGGAGCGCTGCACCTTTTGCATAGATGCGGACATGAGCACACACACGCAGACACGCAGGAGCCCTGCGGGACCACTGGCCAACAGGGTCCCCCGGTCTGTCTCAGGGCTGCCGGTACGCCGCCGCCTCCACTAACACAAAGAAACGCCCGTCCAAGGCCCCACCAGACCCCTCCCTCCCAAGAGAGAGGACCCTCAATGCTGAGAGCAGGGCCCCTGGGACCCAGACAGGCCAGTCTCAGGCCAGAGGAGGCACAGAGGGTGGCGGCTGGACCCACTCACCTCACCCAGAGGCCTTGGGTCCGAGCCCGGCCAGCCCTTCACCAGTGGCTTCTCCGGCAGCAGACAGTGTTGACTGTGGCCCCAGCCCTGACCACATCCACCAAAACATAAGACACAACAGGAAGGCCACAGACAGCAAGACACGGACAAGAGCAGAGGGGCTACGCAGCGCCACTCAATTCCAGTGGTGAAAAATATATAGATTTTATGTTGTCAAATAGAGTCATATGTTTATTTCCTCAGCAAAGCTTTGCCTGATTCTAAGGAGACACTATGTGGCCCGTGAGTCCACGGCGCAGGAGGCTGGGTCCCGGCCGGTCCCGGCTTGGCTTTGGATTGGGCTTGTCCTGCCCCCATGCCACGGCCCCAGCGTCCCTGGGCAGCCCTGGCCAGGCCCCAGGAGCTCGGGTTCAGTTCGGCTGGGGTGGGAGGTGCTCCACAAAGGAAGGCTGGCCTGAGGCCCAGACCGAGGAGGGGAGCTTTGGAGGCACAAAGCGCGTCGCAGAGGGGGCTGTTGCCCCAATGGCTGGGCCGGCTGCCCACTCCCAGTGCATGCAGGCGCTGCCCCCCGTGAGGGGAGGGCGCAGAAAGGAAGGGCAGAGCCCGTGAGTCAGGCAACGGCTTCCGGAGCAGCAGGGGTGGGCAAGCAACCTTGGCAGAGAACCAGTGTCCCATAGGCCAGAGGGGTGAGTAGGACACAGGGTCCCACCAACCCCCCAAGTGTGGGGCCTAACTCTGAAGAGTGGATGGGACAACCAGATGGGTGTAAGCCCTGAAGGGAAAAAGGACCGGGTTTACTTTGTAAAATAATCTATCTATCTATATAAAAGGCTAAGTGACCATCCGTCTGACCAGTAGCTATGACGCGCACTGACCACCGGGGGCAGACGCTCAATGCAGGAGCTGCTGAGCTGCGGTGACTTGGCAGCAGTGGTTCTCGGGTGATGCACCCTGGAACCAGAGAGGAGGGAGCCAGATTCCGGGGTGCATCACCCGAGAACTGCCCTCTCGCAATCCGGGACCCCTCGGGGAATGTCAGAGAGCCAGTGTTGCCTGATCCCCGCAGGCCAGGCTGAGGGACCCCACCTGCCAGAGGGGCCCCGCTCACTCCGCAGATGCCTTTGAGCCCCAGCGCTGCCCTAGGTGTGGCCAGCGGGGAGGGACCACGGGAGGTTGGCTCCAGGGCGTGTCTAGCCTGTCTCACCCAGTCGCGCCCCACCAGCCACATTCTAATTAATTTCCCTTCAATGTGCATGAATCCGTGTACCGGGGCACTAGTAATGGTAATAAAAGGTCAGCAGCGTTTCTGGGGGCCCTGATGTGGTCCTGGGGATGGAAGGAGGACAGTGAGCCTTCCCAGGCTGGGCTCGGGCTGGGAGCAGGGTGTCTGCGGGCTCCCCCTCACCCCACCCCACGAACACCCAGGGCACCTGCTTTGGCTTGGACGGCAACATGGCTTCAGTTCCGTCTTGCCATTCATCCTGCAGTAATTCCTCCTGAGGCACATGAGTCTAAGATCCGGGAACCCTCACCCTAGACAGTAAGCAGCCCCCTTTCAGGAGGTCCGGATACATGAGAACCAAGCCCCCGAGTGAGCACAGTGCAAAGCAGAAGTTGGGCCCGAGGCCCCAGAGAAAGTCGGGGTGCGCTCCAGGGCCATGATGGCCTTGGCTGTCCGCACCAGCTGAGGACTGCTGAGTGCAGCCCGGCCTCCCAGACCACAGGGCCTCATCTCAGGCCGGAGGGGCCCGAGCTGCCAGCCCGCCTCCTCTCCTCGTGCCGGCACTCTGGACGGGAGCATTCCTCCCCCAGCACCGAGCCGTCTGGCTTAGCTCTCACAGGAAGAATTATCTGACGCCCAGACGTGTCAGGAGGAAAGTGGACTGTAGGGAAGGTCTGGGGCCGACAGATGCAGAACCCACACTGCCCTCGGCCCCTCTTGCCCATCTCCACCTTTCACCCGAGTGTGGAGCAGTCTGAGGGGCTGGGGCTCCAGCCAGGCCCGGCAGTTCAGGCTCTGCTCAGAGTCCTGGGTCAGGAGCCTGCACTTTGGGTCGCAGCTGCCTGCACCTGAGGAGATAATACTGGTCCAGACGCCGGGCGGAGGGCAGGGGTGGTGTGGCGTGATCAGGGAACTGAACGGGATGTGGGGGGTGGAGGATGGGGAGACTGAAGTGGGCAACTGAGGTCCAGCCTCTCCAGCTCAGTACACCAGAGACTTCCTGAGCAGGGGCCGCCCTTGTGAAGGGCCGAGCGGAGGGGCCGGGGTGAGGACTCCTCTGCACTTGGTCCTACAGCGGGCCTCCCTGCCTTTGGTCTCTCTTCCCCTCTCTCCTGTCCAAGCTCCAACCCCCAGCCCCCACACTGTTAACAGCCAGAAAACACCACTTCCGAACCCAGAACTAAGTAAGATGATGCCCCCCGGGGATGTGCGAGAGGGAGGACGGCACCCCGACAATCAGTGGTCAGGCCGCCCGAGCCCCTGGCCAGGAAGGGCCTCAGAGCTGGGAGCCGCCGGCAGTGCTGGGGCCCGGCTGGCTCAGCGAGCGGCAGCTGATCCTGCGGATGGAGTGCAAGGCCACCGTGCAGCAGCCCCGCAGCAGGGAGCTGATGTTGTAAATGGGCTGGCCCTGGCGCCGCTGGGAGCGGCAGAGCCAGGCCACCGTGGGGACAGCGGGCACCACCACGGCCAGCAGATCGACGATGTAGTGGCGGCTCCAGTAGCTCTTGGGCTCGGCCGCCTCCTCCTCCTCTTCCACGGGGCACGCCACGCTCACCGACAGGCTGGGGTTGGGGTTGGCACCGGGCCGGTGTGGGGTCGGCCCGCGGGTGATGGGCTCCGGGGCCTCAAGCTCATCACCCACCTCATCACCCACCGTCACCACCACCGCTGAGTTGGGGTCTCTGGGCCCTGGGGGTTGGGGGTCCGGCTCCGGGCACCTGCCCCCTGACTCGGGACCCGTCCCGCAGACCTGGGCCTTGGTCACCTTCTCCAGGATGGTGTCTAGGTCAGGCTGGTACTGCAGCGAGTCTGTCTGGATGGCACGCTCCTGCATGCAGCTGGCCTGCACGCCAGCCTCCATGCCGCACAGCAGCTTCTCGTAGGTGTTGCTGGCTGGGCAGCGGGGCCCCAGGCTGAAGGAGCTGTGCAGCGAGGCCTCCTCGGGGCCGCAGTCCACCCCCGACGACAGCAGGCTGCTGGCCTCCAGCACATCCGTCCGGCTCATGGTGTCATCATTGGCCACGAAGCCACTGTCAGCCCCGTCCTCCGTGGAGGAGCCAGGGTGGTCCCCAGGGGGCTGGTCCCCGCAGACGGCCGGGTCGCTCAGCTTGGTGTAGGTGGAGCTGCGGGTGAGGGAGCGGGCGGGGGAGCCGCCTGCCGACTCCCCGGCGCCGTCCTCCTTGGCCGTGCCGTTCTGGGCCACCTCCATGCTGTGCAGCAGCGTCTCCAGCTTCTTGTTCTGGATGTTGATGTCCATGAAGTACTTCTGCAGCCCCTTGTCCTTGTCAATCAGGTTGTTCTTGACGGTGTCGATGACCTGCTTGAGCTGCTTGATCTCCTTGCGGGCCTCCTTCAGGGCCAGCTGGGCTTCCACGCGGTGGCACTCCTCCTCGATCCAGTCCTCCTGCATGCGTGACAGCTGTGTCTTCAGGTCGTCGATCTCGGTGTCCCTGTGGCGGACGAGACACATGCTCACTGCTGGCCTGGCTCTGCCACCAGGGGGACAGGTCCGGAGGGGGCTGTCACACGGACAGACGGCCTGTGCTGCCGGCTCACAGAGCTAAAACCAGGATCTACTCAATGCTCCTTCCTTCTCCTTACTCCTCAGGGTGAGGGGGGTGGGAGAGGGCCAAGGGGTAAAGACAGGAGAGGCCTCCTCCTGGAGGGAAGGGAGGGGGGAGGGAGGGGGGAGAAGAAATGGGGCAAGAGACAGCACGGCATCCCACCCCCTCCGGGCCGTAATGCAGAGGCCTGTCCACGTTTAAATCCATCGCCTGCAGAGTAGACGGTAAAGAGTCTCAATTTCAAGGTGCTCCTGCTATAAAAACCCAAGACATCCTTAAAAATCTTAACGTATAACCACAGAAGGAAACCTACAATCTGCTCTGTGGGAAGGGATGTGGCCTCCTGTTTGGCGGCTTTAAATGACCACCTGCAACATGGGGGCAGGGGGCAGGGGCGGGGAGGGAAGCTGGTAATGCTACATCTTCCCTCAAGTGGAGGGAGAAGTGGGCAATCAGAGGGGAACGATGAAACGGGGTGGCACTCTTTCATCCGGGGGGACGTTTCTGTTTTATATCTACTATAAAGAGGAAAGCCAAAAAAAAAAAAAAGGGCAAAAAAGGCACGCAGCTACTCCTGAGGGAAGAGGCAAGTGCCAGGTGAACCCGACAGTCAGCAGACTCTTGTCCAGAAACTTTCGGGCTGTTTAAGTCCCTGAGTTGACGGGGCTTGGGGGAGGGAGGTGAGTTTGACAAAGATGCCATCAAGTCCAGAGCTAACACCAGGATGGACAGAGCAGTGAGAAAGCAGTGAGCCTGGAACCGGCTGGGGGTCCCTCCTTCAGCTCACCCCTCGGCGACACGGCCACATGCAGCCGCCGGCCCGGCGTTCGTGCAAATGCAGCCCACAAGTGGCACAACGTCACTTTGGGGTTCTCGATCCCATTCGAATGACAGTCCCAGATCAAGCATCGTTTATTTTCGAAGTGAGATCGGAAATGCAGTTCAGGAAGTGCGCCCAGGAATCGCAGCCGCAGTGCGCCGAGGGGCCTGGGTCACCGGAAGGGGACAGACCGCTGACGGGACACAGCTCGGCGCCGCGGCAGCAACAGGCTCAGAGCAGCAGCAACAGCGATGTTGGGGGTACAGGTATGGGGGTACTCGCCCTTCACTCCTCCCGTCTCAGGGTGGGGGGCTCATCCCACGGGGACCCTCCTCACTGACATGGAGCCCAGGGAGGAAGAGTGAGTTTGGAAGAAGGCACTGGGCATGCTCAGCTCTGCGGGCACCTGCCCCCTCTCCTAGGAGCCAGCAGGGTCCCCGGGGCTGTGGCTTCCCAGTCTTGCCTGGGGCTTTATCTTTGAACTGAGTCCTGAAGGATAAGTTTGCCAAGAAAGTCAGATGGGGAAAGGCCATCCCAGGAAGTGGGGACACAGCCTCCGAAACCACAGGGTGTAAAGGATTACTGAGAGGGAGGCGACCGCTAGAACGGCAGGCACCAAAGTGGATACAGAGAGCGTGTGGAGTGAAGCCGGTGGTGAACAGCCACAGGTTCCCGCAAGGGTAGCAGGCGGGGAGCGGCCAGGGGTTAAGGTGTAGGCCCTCCACGGCAGGGCACGCGGCCTGCTCGGAGCCCAGGCCAGCTCTCGAAGCTGTGAGAGGGGCCGCCTCCTTCCTGAGACCTCCGTGCAGACAGCCCAGCAGACCCAGGGCATCGCTGAGGGGAAAGAAAAACAGAAACCCCAGCCCTGCAGACAAGGAGGCCCAGATGCCGCCTGCAGCTGCCACGGTTCGAGGAAGAGGTGGCGTGCGAACTGTGTGCTTCCCGTGACCTGCAGTGCCCGGAACCGACAAGTCTGTAGAGACAGAGACTCGTGGTTCCCAGGGGCTGGGGGGATGTAGAGAAGCGGGCATGACTGCTGCTGGGAGTGGGTTCCTTTCTGGGGTGATGGAATGTTCTGGAATTAGATACTGTGATGGTTGCAGAGTTCTGTGACTATAACAGAAACAACAGATTGTGTGGTATGTGATTTACAACCCAATAGAGCTGTCATATGTGAAAAGAAGATGAAGGAAGACCTGGTCGTGGGGGCTGGCCCCGCCCTCCAGGGCCCCGGAGCGCCCCACAGCTCCCGGTCGGCTGCACATCAAAATCAACACAGTTGGAGAAGATGGTGGAGGCGAGGAGGAGATCGGAGGGCGGCCCTGAAGATGAGGCCACCGGCCTGGACGGGGGCGGGGTGGGGGGAGGCCAAGCATTGGCCCTCAGGTTTGAAGAACGCACTTAGGGGGGCCCGAGGGGGTCCTGGGAGACCCCTGGGCTGGGGAGGAGCTCAAAGATGTCTCCTGACTGAACATCATCTATAACAGACGAGGAGGAAGGCTCTGGGGCCTGAACTGGTGGGTCAGGAGTCCCCTGGGGACGAGCAGGGCCAACGGGCTGCTCCTCCCTCACAGAGAAGGAAGGCCGGGAAGACAGCCCTGCGCACCCCTGCCCAGGAGGGAAGGAGCCAGGGAGAAGTGGCCAAAGGGGCTGCCGGCTCAACCCGGGAGAGCCCTGCCCTGGGTGGGAAGCCCGACAAGCCCTCCTGGGAGAAACTGCTCCTGGCCTGGCCCCAAGCAGCTTCCTGAGGTCAAAGACAGCAACTCAGGGGGGACGGGGACCCGCAGGTGCTCTGGAAATGGGCTCCCCAAGCCACCCCCTCCTCCCAGCGAGGCCCAGGGCCCTGGTGCCTCGGAGTGTGGAGCGTGCCCCCAGGGCTGCCAAGGGCTGCCCCTGGCCACCTGCTCACCGGTCCTGGAGCCGGTCCTGCGTGTCCTTCAGCCTGGCCCTCAGGTGCCGGATGCACACCTCCTTCTGCTGCAGCGGGGTCAGGTACTGCTCCGGGGTGGGCGGCTTGATGCCATGGTTGTCGCTGCACAGCATGTACTTCATGGAGCGCCTGCAAGGGGCGCTCATCAGCCAGGAGGGACGGAGAGCAGAGCCAGGGGTAGGCCCGTGCCTCCAGGGAGCAAGAGGATGCCAGCCCCACCACCCAGGTCCACGGCCACCAGGGCTCCAGGCCAGGCCTCCCGGACAGGCCCCCGTGGGCCCCAGGACACCCCGCCCTCTTCTGGAAGGTGGGCGTTATCAGAGCTCTTCTGAGTGAAAACCACAGCGTCAGGTGGGCAGCCCTGGCTCCACTAGTTGGGGGTGGGGAGACATACTGTAGGACATACTGACACCATCTCCATCAGTCCAGTCCCAGAGAGCTCAGGCGCCCAGTCTCCCAACCCGAGAACGAGGCCGGGGCTGGAGGCTCTCCCTCCTCGAACCCGCACACACACTCACTGGGCGTGCACATCGGAGCACACGGACTCCCAGTCCATTTGCGCCTGCATGTCCACAGACATGAGTACACACCCATGCCCACCCTCTCTCTACGGGCACAGGCACATGTGAGGACACCATGCATGGACTCATACAAGTGCACGCCCCCCTTTTCTCCGGGGCACATGTGAGCACACATGTGGACACGGCTGGATCTGACCCGATGTACCCGAGGTGGCAGCGGGCTGGCTGTGCACTGCTCCGGAGGCCACATGCTCCCCATTACGAGGTGGCACAGGCGTGTGTATGGTGAGTGCACCCTGGTCCCACCAGTGTAGAGAAGGGAGGGCCAAGGCTTTCACCCCGAGAAGGAGGGCACCTCAATTCCACCAACAGAGCCTGGCCCGGCCTCCTCGGCTCCCAGCTTCCTGCCTGCTGGTGGTTCTGTTCATGAATCCCTCCTCCCGCCTTGGGTCTTGGCTGAACACCCTGGGCAGGTTTTTCACACAACTTGGCAGGGGACTTGCTGCCCCCAACTCGGGTCCTTTGGGGCGGGGGGCTCCCAGGTCTAGGGAGGGACGATGGCATGTGAGGGGCCTGGAAAAGCAGGCCGGGGAGGGCCACTGCTGCAGCGCCAAATCGCTCCTGTTTTCTGTGATGAGGGCAGAGGAGGCGTGGGGTGGAGCTCAGGGTGCCTCTATGGTGGTGCAAGAAATCTCTTTCCAAAGGACAAGCAAGCCAGCAGAGCCCTGCGGCCCCATGCGCTGGCCCTGTGGGCTCCTGGCCCCTGCAAGGACTGCTGGGGACACAGCTCTGTGGCGAGTGAAAGGTCTCCTCCCCATGCCTGGAGGAGAGGAACCAGGGTGAGTTACGCGAGTAAGTGCTGAGGCTGAGAGAGGAAGCAACTCTTTTAACCTTTCCATTTGCTTCATGAGTGTTTCCCCAATATAACATTTAACACTTGCACATTTTAGTCACTAGCTCTATCTTTGTGGGAAAACATTTGTACACAGGGAGTGTATTATAATTCAAGCCTCTCCGCTGTTCCCTCGGAGAGCCCAGCTATCTGTAAGGGAGGCCACCGCGCGGCCCCTGCTGGCCCGCAGCAGGCTCTCCGAGGGCAGCAGGCTCTCTGTGGGTGAGAGGACCCTTCCCCGGCAGAGGTCAGCCTCTGGGCTGGGACCCCCCCGGGGCTGCAGGTATGACATGCATTACAAACATCTGCTACTGAAAGGAAAAATACTAAAGTTGTCAATTATGAACTTTTAAAAATTTAAGTGGCCCAGCTGGTGTTGCTCAGTGTTGAGCATCACCATGAACTAGGAGGTCACGGTTTGATTCCCAGTCAGGGCACACACTCGGGATGCAGACTCGATCTACAGTAGGGGGCATGCAGGAGGCATCCAATCAATGATTCTCATCATTGATGTTTCTATCTCTCTCTCTCCCTCTCCCTTCCTCTCTGAAATCAAGCCTATATAATAAAAGAGAAACATGCAGATTAACCATCACTCCGCCACTCCGCTACACCCACCAGCCAATCAGAGTGACTATGCAAATTAACCCAACAAAGATGGCGGTTAATTTGCATATGCAGGCACAGAGCAAAGACTGAAGACGACTGAAGATGGCAGAGGCCATGGAGCTGGAGCGAGCAGGAGGCTTGGGTTGTTCCCGGTGATGGAGGAAGCCAAGCTTCCGGCCGGCCCTGGACTCCGCTCAAGGAGGGGCTGGGGGCCTGGGGGCCTGGGTCACCGGGGGCGACCCAGGCTTCCATCCAGCCCTGGCCTCCGCTCGAGGAGCTGGGGAAAAAAAAAAAGGAGGGGCAGGGAGCAACCGGAGCGGAGAAGCCAAGCCTCACTGCTGTGGCCAGACCAAAGGCCTGGGTCCTGGATGCCAGAAGAAAACTGGTGCTGGCAGCCAGGCAAAGGAAGGCCTATTGCATGAATCTTCGTGCAATGGGCCACTAGTACAAAGATATTTTAAAAAATAGTTATTAACTAATCAGAACTGCATCTAGGCTGACTGGTGTGGCTCAGAGGTTGCGTGTCGATCTATGAACCAGGAGGTCATGGATCAATTCCTGGTCAGGGCACATGCCCAGGTTGTGGGTTCAATCCCCAGTAGGGGGCGTGCAGGAGGCAGCTGATCAATGATTCTCTCTCATCTATACTAATAAAAGGGCAATATGCTAATTAGATTGGACATCTTCCGGACGTCCTTCCAGACAAAGCCACGGTGGCAGGGGCCGAGGCAGGGGAGAGCAGTTAGGGGCGATTAGGCAGGCAGGGGAGCAGTTAGGGGCGATCAGGTAGGCAGGGGAGCAGTTAGGGGCGATCAGGCAGGCAGGCAGGTGAGTGGTTAGGAGTCAGCAGTCCCGGATTGCAAGAGGGATGTCCGACTGCCGGTTTAGGGATTGGGCCTAAACCGGCAGTTGGACATCCCCCGAGGGGTCCTGGATTGGAGAGGGTGCAGGCTGGGCTGAGGGACACCCCCCAACCCCCACCCCCATGCATGAATTTTGTGCACCGGGCCTCTAGTCATTGATGTTTCTATCCCTTTCTCCCTCTCCCTTCCTCTCTCTGAAGATGGATGCATACACTTTAAAATGTAAGTGTACGCCTCCGTCTTCCTCATGCCCTGTGTTCTGGAGTGGGGTTACAAACGGAATGCTGGGACATGGGTCCCGCACACGTGTGTCACCCATCACTCGTGTGTCATGCTGGACAACACTGAGAACTGTTGCCTCAGCACAACCCGAACATCACTTCACACAAATGACACGCTCTCCACTGGAACGGGCAGACGAGTCCTCCCAGCGGGTGCGTTGGCCACGGGGCTGCAGGCCGTCTTCCGGCCATGACGCTCAAGGAGGACCAAAGCCCCACCGACGGCCGTTACCAGTGTCGGATGGAGAGGTGGGGATGAGAAGTGACCGAATCCCCAGCCCACAGTCTTCTGCCTCCCCCTGCATTTCAACGCTGGGCACAGGCTTGTGCCGTCGTCCCAGCTCGAACTCCCTGGTCTTCGAGGACCCACGGCTCCCCTTGCCCTGCCTCCCAGCCCGATCCCGCTTCTCAGGTCTCTGCTCGCCTTTGCTGAGGGCACAACTCAGCCCTTTTCCCCCACTTTCCTTTCCAGACCTGCTCACCTCTGCCACCCTCATGCTGCCCCCAGGAAAGCAAGCGGCAGAAGCTGCGAGGTGCCCTCCAACGCTGTGCCCAGGAGCACACAGCTCTGCCCGACCTGGGCCCGCACATCACCCAGCTCCACAGGGAGGCGCACACAGGATTCCCGGGGAGGGGTCCCCGTCAGGAAACATGAGCCGGGGGCCGGGGAGTGGGGCTTTGGGCTTTTCCCGTTTTCCTTCCTGGGCATCAGCCCGCTGCCTGGAGGTGTGGGAGCCACATGTGACGAGGACAAGAGCTACACCCCGAGGAGGGGGAGCAGGAAGGCAGGAGGCGGCCTCTGACGTGCAGAGAGCTGCCGCCTGTGGCGCCTGGTCCTGAAAGCATCCCTTCTCGTGGGCCTAGGACACTGTCTTTGGAGACTCACAGCTGGACATATCACACCCATTTCACAGACACAAGAATAGAGGCTCAGAGAGGACGTGACCTGCTTGGGGTTGGACAGCCAGGGAGTGTGGGGGTGGTTAGGACACCCCCACCCCGCCCCCCAGGGTACCCAGGCTCCCAGGCAGCTGGGCCAGGCCAGGCTGGAGGGGAGGTCGTTACCTGGGCGTGGGGCTGCCATCGCTGCCCTTGCAGGAGCCCGAGGTGCTGCTGCCGCTGAGAGAGGAGGTGCCGTAGGCGTCCCGCATGCTCACGGGGGGAGAGGTGCGCCTGGAGGCGGGAAGAAGGGGCAGGTGCTCGTTCTGGCTGGTGGGCAGCTGCGGACACTGGGCGAGCACTGCCAGGCCGCTGCGGCCCAAAGCGCCCCCACTTCGGGGTCACCGCCGGGAGAGAAACAGAGGAGAATCGGGGATGCACAGACAGGGTGACAGAACAGACAGTGCAAATCAAGATGGAAAACCAGAAGGAGGCCGGTCCTCCTGACTCCCCAGGGCAGGAATGGAGGCTGGACAGGGCTGCAGCCCAACGGGGGGGCGAGGGGGGGAATGTGCCCCTAAAGGGTCCCCCAAGCCCAGAGGAGGAGGTCCTGCATGGACCGAGTCCCAGGTGGAGAAGAATGGGGCAGGCGGGGGGAGACAGGAGGGAGCTGCGTGGAGGACGGTGGGACATCCCTCTAACGGTGAAGGTCAAACAGCACTGATGTGGGCGGGAACCCCATGGCGTGTGCCTTCAGAGAACTTTACACCCACCGTGCCAGGCGAGCCCTAAACAGTTCCAGGAGGAGCAAGCGTCAGCAGCCCATTTTAGAGATGGGAAAACTAGGGAAATCCTCGCAAGGGGGTGGCAGAGTGGGGACACCCCTCCCATCCTCTGAGGCCAAGGTCTGGGCCAGGGGGAGACTCACCTGCGGGATCCAGCAGAGGCCCGTCTACTGCCCTGCAGGGACATGGCCATGAGGCTGCGGGTCCGGGTGAGGGGTGGGATGGGTGGTGTCCCCGGGGCTGAGGAGAGAGGGCGCATTGGGGGGGCCGCGGCGAGGGCCGGGCCGGGCCAGGTCATCCTCTCGCTGGGGCCGCTGCCCGGCATGGCTTCTCCTTTCGCCCTTCAGCAGGGCACCCAGGACGGAGCGAGGGCCTGGCAGGCCAGGCTCTGGCCACAGCTGGCTCCGGGCACCCGACTTAAAATGACTGGCAGAGCCTCAGGGCAGCCAGAGATCATCAGTCCAACCCCGTGCTCTCCAGATGGGCGACCGTGCGGCACGGAGCGGAGGCGTCGCCCAAGGTCACACAGGCATCGGCAGCGCCTCCCGACCCCCGGCAGCACCGCGTCCTCTATGCTACACGCCAGCCCCCTGGGTCCCTGCACTCAGACCCCGATCCTCCCTCCTCGGCGGGGGCTGCAGGCTGGAGGCTCCCGGAGCAGGACCAGGACCCCCAAATTACGCTGGGCTAGTCTCGACGTCACCGTCCCAGAGTGCCTGCTGGCGTGTGGCTCGGGGCTTCCCGTCTACAGGGGAGACAAGACAGACCAACAGACCAGCACACGTGTAGAAAGACGTATGGACACACACGGTCATGAAAAGGCACCATGCCCGACATTCCACGTGAACATGCTCAGGGGACCTGTGCACGGTGCAGGACATGCAGCGGCCCTCCCGCACACGTGCCGCACACACACATGCCCGCACCCATGCAGGAGCGCGTGCTGATCCTGCCATGCACAGGAGCTCAGGGCGCAGGCTCAGAGCAGGTGAGGGCTGGGCGGTGGGAGCAGAAGCCCCCCTCGGGGTGTCTCTGGGGTTGGGCCCAGTAGAAAGTGACCGAGCCTGCAGAGGCCCACCCTTGGTCCTCTTGACAGTGGGTGGGGGACGCAGGCCCTCTGGCTCCGGCCTAGGAGTCACTAGGCCCCTCTCCCGGGACCCTACAGGGGTTTAAGGAGGGGAGGCCCCAGGCCAGGCGGGGTGTGAGCTGCTGTGGGGAGGTGGCTGCCTGGGCACCAGCCCAGGGCTCCTGGCGTCCAAGGTGGAGGGCCTGGGCCCTTGCAGCCAACATGCTAGTCCTGTGCCGGCTCCAGAGACCCGTCCCCTTCCTCCACGCTCAGGGCAGTAGCCTGGGTCACAGGAGACTCGCCGAGGACGCTGGACCCCAGACCTGGCCCCATGCCGGGAAACAAGCATTCACCAAGCCCGCTCCTCGTCTCAGACCCCAGGCCGGGCACGTTACGTACATTCCGCCATCGACGCCTCCCAACAACCCTAAGAGGAAGTGCTGTGGTTAGTCCCTTTACAGGTGAGGAGTCCCGAGGGAAGGCACGGGCCCAAGTCACACCCAGTGGTGGCTGGGCCAACACCAGACGCTCAGGGGCTGGACCTCACACCCTGGAGTCCCCGGGCCAGGGCACCACCCCTTCCCGAGTCAGGGCCCCCGGGGAGCCTGGCCATCCTGGCCGGCGGCGGGGCTGCCTCCTGAGCAGACAAAGGCGCTCCTCAGTGGCCTGTTTCCTGGCTGTGACACAGATGCGGCCCGTCCCCTGGACGGCCAGACACAGCCCGCATTGTCCGCACGAGGTGTCAGGTGCCGGCGCAGGAGCCTCCGACACCAGGCCTGTCACCTGAGCTGCTCGCCCTCGCTCGGTGACGCGGCCCACCCATCACGCCCCGTCACCCAGGCAGGGCCTTCTGGGACCGTCGGGCCGGACCTGGAGGAGGAACCACGGGACAGGGGCTGGGGCAACAACGGTGCCCCCACACTTGTCAGGAAGCCACCAATGGCCGGCCGCCTGCCTCCAGAGCACAGGAGGGCTGGGCCGGGCGCAGCTGGGGGGGCTGGGGCTGATGGTCCTTCCTCGTTGGGGGGGCCAAGGCTTCCGGGATCACCTGCCGGGGACTGAACCCCGTGCGGCCAGGTGACCCTGCTGAGTGCGTTTGTGTGCCCTGCCCATGTCTGCAGATACCAACCTTCCAGGCAAGCAGGGTTTGTGATCACAGTTTGGCCAAGGCCACGCGGCCGCAGGTCTGACAGACCCTGGGTGCTGGTCCCCGCCAGCCCGCTTCACCGGCATCGACCCACATCCCCGCCTCCCCCTGCTTTTGGGAGGAGGCAAAGCGGAGGCTGTGCCTCCAGGAGGCCCTCTCAGCAGAGGCAGGACTCAGATCTGAGCACGCGCCGCGCTCTTCCAGGCCGGCTGGGATGCGTGTTGCTAAGTAGCTTGGGTGGGAAAGGCCAAGTGGAATTCTAGTCCCAGGTCCCGGGAGGCAGGCAGATGCCTGGCCTGCCTGGGAGCTGCGTGTGGCCTCGGTACAATGAGGGCCTTGTCCCAGCTGTCCCTCCCCTACCTTGCTTGGCAACCCCACGCCTCCGCCTCTTGAGCTCCTTCCTTCCTTTCTGACAGGAGGGTGGGGGTGGGGGGTGGCGGGGTGGGAAGGGGACTGCGTTTGTACCTGGATAAAGCCCACAGTCTCCTGGGAGGCCAGGGCCAGCCCCTCATCCAGGGCGGAGGGGAAGTGGCGTTTCCCCTGCTGGGACGGGACCTTGCAGGCGGGCGTCCTCAGGGGAGGGCAGAAGTCACCCAGGCCCAAGGCAGCCACCTTTCTAGGATCCTGCTCAGAAGTCCCAGTGTGGGGCCTGTGCGCTCTCAGCTCCTCCCTCCCCTCCAGGCCCGAGAGGAGGCAGGTTGCCATGGCATTTGTCACCACGCTGCCTGCTGGCCCAGAGTCCCCGCAGGCCTGTCCCCAGGTGGCCAGAGGCTGCCACTGGAACGGAGGGCGGGAAGGAAACCCTTAGCCATGGGTCACAGTCTCTCATCACGTCAACCCCAAGTAACTCCAGCCCCTTCTCCCTCCTGCCTCCCTCCAGTTCCCCACCTGCCAGACCAGGGCGCCCTGCCGAACCCAGCCCTGTGGCCAGTCCCTCACACGCCCAACATTTCCTGAGGACCCACAGGGGGTCCGGGGGGATACTGGAGGATCTAGGGAACAGCAGAGGGAGATGCAGGAAGAGTCCAACAGATGTGGGCCCAAATCCCAGCTCTGTCGCCTGCAGCCGCAGGCCTCCTCATTTGTCCGGGGGCTGTGCCAGAAGGCGCCCCCTGTGGTCACTGTGGGAATGACACGGGATGATGCACGGGTGGGGCTGAGCCCAGGGCCCATCACCGGACAGACCCTCACAAAGGGGAATGCCAGTCAGTCAGAAGGGCATCACTGCAATGCAATGTGACCCTCAGAACAGAAACGCACCCAAGGCGCAATGGCGGCCTCAGGAAGGCCAGGGGAAGCTGCTCTAAAAAGAAATGTGCACGGGGCCCTGAAGGATGAGTAGGAGTTCACCAGACAGGGAAAGTGAGCAGGAAGCAAGAGGCCCAGACAAAGGCACAGCTGCTCAGGACACGAGGGGCCTGGTGAGGGCGGAGTCACAGTGGGGGTGAGGGGGGCGAGGCTGCAGGGGAAGGCGGGGCCCAGCCACGCGGAGCGGCATCAGCCAGGGTCTTGCCCGCCCTCTGGGCACAGGCGGTCACGGAGGAACACCATCAGACTTGCATTTTAGAAAGCCCCGTGGGCAGGGGCCCTTGTGGAGTGTGGCTGGGAAGGGACAAGAGTAGAGGCAGGAAGATGAGGTAGGAGGTTATCAAAACCCCAGGTAAGAATGAGAGGGCCCAGGTCAGGGCGGCAGCGGGAGCGATGGACAAGAGGGCCCGAAACTCCCTCAAAATTCACCGGAGGCGCCCGATTAAGTAAAGATCAGGGCAAAACTCTTAACCCCGGGGTCCAGGGCCCTCTCACCTGTACCCTTCCCCCTGCTCTCAGCTGCCTGCTATTCCCCCCCCCGCCCCCCCCGCCCCTGCCACAGGAAAACCATTCTTTGCTCCCACAGCTCTGCCTGGGCTGTCCGACCATCCTGTCCGCCCCCCCCTCCCCCGCCTTGTCCCCACGCACACACCACACGCTGGGACGCCTCCCATCACTTACTGTCATGACCACTTGCATGCCAGGCGGGGGGTTGAAACGCCACCCTCTGGGGAGTTTCATACAAATGAACACAACCAACACACACTGTACATAACACAATGGCTGAAACAGGCACGTTTGCTAAGCCCAGAGATTGGATTAGATGGTCTGAGACGCTTCCAGAGCCTTTTCTGATTCTGTAATTCCAGGCTGTCAATGAAGCGATGGACCCTCGTCATGCTTTCCCCCCCTTCGATCACTAGGGCCCCGGGTTTCAGGTCCCACGGCTGTAGAATTGGGACGCTGCATCCTTTAAAGACACTATGGCATTTCACTCCACCAGCAAGTCACGGGGGAGAAGCCAGGCACTCAGGTTAATCTAATATTCGAGCTAAGTGAAAGTCCCTGCACATCCTATAAATTATCCTTTTTCAAAGAATTAGCCATCCAGAAAGAAGAAAGCTATCCTAAAACCCAGCCAGGGAACAGAACAATCTGCGACTGGTGACTCACGCCTCTGACAGCTGTGAAAACCAGAGCCTCACGACCAGCAGAATAGAACTTGGGGAGGGGGTCCCCTCTCTGCCCAGGCAACGCGGGAATGCGGAACACCCCACCCATCACACGGCAGAGCGCCTGGTGCGCCCAGAGTGCGGATGCGGAGAGACGTGGGAGGAGAAAGAGCGGCCTGGCAGCGTGCCAAGCGGCCACGGGGATCGCAGAGGGTTGTGCTCTGAGGGCTACTCACAGCCGAGTTCAGTGACCCTTCCACTGGCTTTGCAACCTGACCAGCCACCCCGACCCTCCTCGGCGCTACCAGCCAAACCCAGGGCCTCCCTTCCTGGGCCTGGGAAGGAGGCAGTGGCGGCGTTTCTCCAGCCGGCTTCCTGGTCCTGCCAGAGCTGCCCTCCGAGCTGGAGCCACGGGTGGGAGCCACTGGACGCCTCCTCTCACCATGGCAACCCCGGCTCAATGGCAGGGCAGACCCACCGCTGGGCCAATGCTGTCTGGGTTCCTAGGGCAACCAGGACGGGCCTGAGGGCTGAGGTGGCTGCGGCACAGGACTCTCTGGGAGTCAGACTCCAGGCTGGGAACCATCCGGCGAACTTGCCTCTGGGACTGCTGAGGGGTGAGCTCGGGCCTCCTGCCCCACTGCACCTGACGGGGCTCCTCTTGTGTGTGTCCTACATATGGACGATCTAAAGGAAGACGGCTTTTTATTTATTTTTATTTATTTTACTTTTTAAAAAATTATTTAAAAAATATTTTTATGGATTTTAGAGAGGAAGGAAGAGGAAGAGAGAGATCGAAACATCAAAGATGATAGAGAATCACTGATCGGCTGCCTCCTGCACGCCCCCTGGGCACATAGCCTCCTGGTTCATACGTGGACGTGCAACCACTGAGCCGTGCTGGTCGGGCAGGAACTGGCTTTTTAAAGAGGGACTTGAAGATTAAAAACCGATGTCATATACAGTTCCCACAATGAGATACTCTCACATCCGCTAGGATGGCTATGATAAAAAAGATGGGCAAGCCTGGGTGAGAATGTGAAGAAACTGGAACCTTCGTGCATCGCGGGTGGGGGTGTAAAGTGGTTCAGCTGCTGTGGAAAACCGTCTGGCGGTTCCTCAAAAGTTACACATAGAATCACATGACGCAGCAACTCCCCCAGTGGGCACGTGCCCTGAGGAACGGGAGAAGGTGTTCACACAGAAACCTGCACAGCAATGTTCCCAGCAGCACTGGCCACGGGGGCCAAAGGAGGAAGCAGCCCGAATGCCCATCGATGGAGGAGGGGGTACACAAACGCGGTACATTCATGAAACGGAATACCAGTTAGTCACAAAAACGACGAGCTGCTGACGTGCCACCACGGGCACGGACCTGGGCAGCATGACGCTAAAGGGAAGAAGCCGGGCACAGAGACCACACATTGTAGGATTCCGTTTATCGGAAATGCCCAGAGTGGGTGAATCTACAGAGACAGAAGGCAGATTAGTGGGTGCCAAGGGTCGGGGGAAGGAGGAATAGCAAGTGACTTAATTGGTATGCAGTTTCTTTTGGGGTTGATTAAAATGTTTGGAAATTAGAGAGTGGTGATGAATACACAACTTTGGGACTACACTAAAAACCCCTGAATTGTGTACCTTTTAAAAGGGGGAATGGTATGGTATGTGAATTATATCTCCATAAAAAGCAAATGTGAAAGTCTATGTAACACATGTGTAAAATGAACATCTGCAAAAGGACAGGCATGGTCGAGGGAGGGAAGGGAGCTGCCCGGGGTGGCTCGGCAAGGAGCGCCAGGA